TATATACCGCGATCAGAAATTAATTCCTCTGGAGATTAAAAAGCTGAACATTGAAAAAGTGGTCGACGAAATAAATAAATCGCCCAAGTTTCGAGTGTAGAAAGTCACCTTGCAAATAAATTTTAAGTGATTAGAAGAGCGGGCTAAAGGATATCAATACATAAGGGAGTTTTATTTAATATGTTAAGTAAATTCCCCATCTCATGAAATGTCATCCAAAATTCTAAATCGCGTTTTCGATTCGAACATATTAATTACATATGTTTGTAATTTTGATTATCGTGCAACTTAATCTCAATGTATATTTTAGTCACATCAGGATACCGTCTTTCAAACGAGCTTCCTTTTGATCACTTTCTGTTAAAAATAGTTACATAAGTAGTATGAGTTTCCCTCATTGATGCCCAGTGCTCTTATAAATTCAAATGTAATTTAAGGGGAAGATGCACAAAAATATTCCTTCTTGTACCCCTTTGGTAGCAAATTAGGCTTTCTTCAAATTTCATACTTGAAGAAAAGACATACACCTCACCGTCCAGGAACCATAAACAATGTCTTCTCGGAGTTCGGAAATCTCTCGAAGGCAGCGAATGCTTTCCCTATACAGAATATCTAGCACATGTTCTTAACTGTCCCATAATGCATGCCTACCGGCACCTGAATTTGCTCTCATCCCCCATACTTCGCCGAATTTTAGGCCACCCGAGCTTTGATCTACTGTGACAACGATCTGTCCCGAGCAGCCGATCTGGCCTTTTCGGACCCGCACAAATTGGATATCCCGCCCCCGACTGCCGAGGAGAACTTCGCTACCAGCGTGCCTCAAGTCAACGCTTCGGCTTCAACCGCCCCCACAGTACCACCAACAGCCAACCTCAGCAACGGTGACAGCCGCTATGAGCTGATCGGAATGATCAGCCATATGGGCAATTCAACGGCGGTATGTTCTTATCTGTTTGTTCAATGTGCGTCTAATGAACCAGCAGTTACAGTGTGACGACGAGGTTTTAGTTAACTCTGTGCGCAGTTAAATCACTAGCCTGCTTGACCAGTGAAGGTATGTGGCAGCAATTCATGGACTTCGGACCAACTCAATTGCAATAGGCGTGTAATTTAAATAGATTGAACGGGAGCATAACCACTACTGGGGTCCAATTCTGCGTCTTTCGTGCAATTTTCCGTCCCATTTTCGTTCGTTTTGGTTGCAGTGGGCATGCTCAACTGAAGGCTTTTCCGTCTTCTTCCCATGCCTGTTGTTTACTGACACCACCGACAACCGGACGAGGGATGAAGCCTAGAGCAGTAAACTTTAAATTCGGGAAAAACAAGCGGTCATTAATACAAGATGTTCTGGTGGTGTGGATATTTTTAAACTGACCAAACAATCTTAGTTTTGCCAATGCAAACGAACATGCGAGTCCCGGGAGGTAACTAGGAAGAAGAATATTCAATCGCTGAGACAAGACTTTTATTCGCCTGATGTTTCGACATCCGTCGCGGATTCTTCATCAGAGTGATGAGCATGATGAAGAATCCGCGATGGATGTCGAAACATCAGGCGAATAGAAGTGTTGTTCCAGCGATCGAATCTTCTCTTTCTCAATCTTAGTTTGGCTTGTCACTGTTGGTTGTGACAAGTGTCCATAAACACATAATTGGTTTTATGCTGCAGCATGCCCCAATTTACATTTTTCGTTATCGTGTAAATTCAATTCAACTCTCTCTCCCCTTTTTTCTGCAGTCCGGCCACTATGTTTGTCACATCAAGCGCTCCGCTCTGTCCAAGGGCGTGCCTGGCGTCACCGCAACCTGTGAGCCCGCGCCCTCGGAGGGTCCGAATGAGTGGGTTATTTTCAACGACGAGAAAGTTGCTCGCAGTGAATGCCCACCCTTCCAACATGCCTACCTCTACGTCTTTCGTAGGGTGGATGCGCCCCGCGAGTAAAAACTCGACGTTGTTGGTGCTGCATAATCGCCTTCCATGTTAACCTATACCTCTTGCTCACTCTTCTGTCCGCTTGCATGTTTCTTTCTTCCTCCGATTATTAAAGAAATGTGTATCAGACGCGGCCTCTCTTTTCTCTTTTTGCCTTGCCCGTCCATGTTCTCTTTTTCTGTTTATACCGCTGCATTTTTTTGTAGCCGGAGGGCAACCCATTTTCTCTTAAAATTTTGCGCGTCTGCAGGGTTTGGACCCATTAATTTTTTTACAAGGCGAATTATCACGAAAAAATCTCACATCTCGGCTGTGATTTTTTGCATGGTGCAGGGTGACATTCGGGAAATTAGGGGTTAAGTAGTATCTTCGTGCCAATATGCTAGATATCCGTGTCCGGGCCCTTTGCCAGCAGTCGTGTACGTGCTTGGTAGACCAATCTAGATAGCGCAATTATCAAATGAAGTCACCTCATTGTTAACGTGCATACACTGACCTAGGCACATCTCCTTCCGTTACTCTTAAACAGTGCAGTCGCCATTTTGGGATCTGAGAAGTCGAGGCCTTAGACGTCCCCGGGGTCAGCAGCACTATACTTCACACATTCTGACAAAATTGGAAGCTCTATCTTGGCATCTCACTTGCCTAAGGCCCTGTATTGACAAGCCCCCTGGTATTTCACAAACATTTAATTTTTCTGGGTCGCCTAATGGTTCACCGCCAATGCTGCTCTATTAGGTCCGTGATGAAAGTTGCGTATGTGTTTTTGTGTCGAAAATGTTTGGTAGAAATAG